TCAGTTTTGCCATCCCACTAGGCTTAAAAAGAGAGCCAATCCCAGAGTAGAGGAGTACTTCACTACCTCTGAAAAAGAAGAGCCAGAAGAGCATGTCTTTTGAGCTAAAGGTCCCTGTGCTGAGAACCTCCTAGACTCAGGAGACAAAGAGAGAGAAATATAATACCAGAGATAGCATGCTACAGCAAGAAGCAGGGGCAAAGAAATGGCAGCAGGAAATCCATGAGATTGGCACAAGGTGGGTTTCCCAACCCACAGAACAAGACAGCTACCATGGGTATGCCTACCTACCTACAACCTATGGAGCAAGAGAACTGAGTGCCTTCAGGCAGGAGGCTTGCTGGTGGAGTGGGGTGCCTCCAGGCACTTATTAGCAGAGCTAAAAAAGCTCTGTAAGATTTTCAGGACCAGTCCAGAGGCCAGACCTGAGAAGATCCAAGGATTGAGAGAGAAGGCCTATCCTGCGGGTGCCAAGTAGAACTTGACTCAGGGGCCCAAGGGTCCTGCAGGGCTGAGAGTAGTAGCTAAAACAGCCCCTGCCCTGAAGGGAGACTTGTCCTACATGCTTCCTGATCTTGATCCCAAGTTGTAACCTGTTACTTCCCTAAAGAAACCCATAACTTTGAGTACGGCCTATGAGTTCTGTGTGGCCACTGCAATGAATTTTCAAACTCACCAAAGGACAAATAGACCTCAAAGATACTACGAGTTTGGTTCTACACCACTGCAATATAGTACTGCAATAAAGCAACTCACACAATTTTTTTTGTTTCCCAGTGCATATAAGTTGTATTTATTGTACTGTAGTCTAAAAGTTTGACACATTGTGAGAATTGCCAAAATGTGACACAGGGATAGAAAGTAAGCACAGGCTGTTAGAAAAATGGCACCGATAGACTTGTTCAATGCAGGGTTGCCACAAACCTTCAACTTGTGTGTGTGTGTGTATGTGTGCGTGTGTATAGTAATATATGTGAAATGCAATAAAGCAAAGTGCCATAAAACAAGGTATGCCTGTAGAGAGTGCCATGGGAAGGACAGCTGGTGTCAAAATTTGTCAACAAATTGGAGGATGAAGGGATGTTTGACCTCCACATTATAGGGATCAGCCTTGGGCTGATATTGCAGATGATTCTCCCTCCTTGTGAAGTTAGATAAAGCAATCAGACACTCCCTCCACATCATTTTTACAACCTCCAAAACAGGGCAGTCCAAAAAAAAAAAAATTGCAAAAAGCTTGAAATTTAAAAAAAAAAATGCTTAATATGAATTGACATGGCATTTTCAATTAGATTCAAAAATGCTTAGGGCTGAGAAAATCCAAACTCCTTATTTTACAGATGAGAAATTCAAAACCCAGGGGGAAGCTGAGTAACTTGGCCAACATGATATATCTAACTAGATGCATTTATGGTCTTACACATAAAATTATACATTACCACCTGAGATAGTTCTTTTCAGAGTTCAGGATAGCCTCATGAAGGCTATTTCTAAAACCTGTCTAGCCAGCCACAATGGCAAAATCCCACATCTGGAGTCTTTCCTTTAAATCACAGTATCAGCTCAGAAATTCTGTGTTTAAATCCAAATGTTATCACAGAAATGGTGAAAGTAAGAAAGGGTAATACTATAGAGTATTGAGTACTAAGTCAGAAGGCAAACAAATGTTATAAAGTCAGAAAGATTCTTGAAATCATCCACACAATTAAGTCAATCACAGAGCCCAATATATGTGGCTTTATTCATTAGGAAGGCGTCCCTGAGTAGTGCAAACTGTTAACGCACTTGGCTGCTAACCTAAAGGTTAGAGATTCAAGTCCACCCAGAGGCACCTTGGAAGAAAGTCCTGATGATTTGCTTCTGAAAAACCAGCCATTGAAACCCCTATGGAACACAGCGCTAGTCTGATAAACATGGGGTTGGCATGAGTGGGAGTCTACTCCATGGCAACTGATTTGGTTTTTAGTCACTGGGAACAAACCTATGTCTATCTTAATGAGGTTTTTGTGGTGGTGAAGTTTGTGTGTCAACTTGGCTGGGCCTGGTTGAGTGGCTGGGCAGCTGGATGTAGTATTCCCCATGATGAGTTAATGTGGTAATCAACTCCGTGGTGGAATCTACTGTGAACAGCTGAGTGAACAGCCTTTGGGTATGTGGTCTTCTTCCCATGTAAAAGCAGCAGCTTTGGGAATGGTCTCTAACTCGTGACACGCTTGAACCCTGCATGTGGCCGTGTCATTGTTCAGTAGCCTGCCATGTTCCGCCGACTTTCAATGGACTTGAATCAATGGCCTGCCATGTGGTTTGGTAACATAGGGACTGTGCCTTTTTACTTGTCAACCTTGGGCTTGTCAGCCTCAGCAGCCAACAGCTGTCTGAGTGAAGAAAAGCCTCTAGCTCCAGTGGACCAGAAGCAGGAGGCAGAGCTGAAGCCCAAGGTTGAGGGGCTTTCACCCAGCCCCTAGAGCCTGGCACTTTGAACTTGGACTTAAAGCCTCCAAACTGTAAGAGAACAAATTCCTGTTTCTTCAAGCCATCCCATTGGTGGTATATTCTTGTCAGAGCAGCACTAGGTAACCAGAAGAGTTTTCCTTCAGCAATAGAACAGGCCACAGTTTCTTTTGTTTATCATTAGATGAAGTAGTGGTATGGAATTTAAAGGTTAGACTGTTCCCAAAACACGTATCTTTAAACACTGGGCTAGTTCTCTGGGAGTAAAATGGTGGAAAGGTCCTCAGGAAATGAAACTGACTTAGAAAGCCTGAGTCCTGTCTCCTGAGGAAGAGAACCTCTCTCTCTCTCCCTCTCTCTCACGGCACTGGATAGCTGATCTCATGCACTATTTAACTTCCATTTCTCTCACACTCTCAATTCGCCTAGAAGTATAAAATGAATTTGTGCTATTAAATGTATGTAAGATACCACACCACTATACTACCATGCTCCCATATTTGCCTGTGGATGGAATTATGTGGATTAGGCACAGGATAAAGTTGGGGCACAGATCTTGAAGAAAAGGGCAGGTCAGGTAGAGTGAAAGAGTCAGAGCAGCATGAGGACTCCTGGATAAGTTTTAGGGGGTTAGGGCTAGGGAATAGGGAAAAGATCACTTTCTGTGAGAAAGAATTACAGTATTTTTCACATATAACGCTTACATATTAAATAGTGTACACATAAGGTGCATAGGAGACTAAGGAATGAAAGGGTGCTGCAAACCACATAAGGCACACATTATTTATGCAAAACTACAATAGTTCAAAAATAATTTTCACTTTGTTCACAACATTCCCTTGGATTAGACTTGATAGACACATTTTAACCACTGCAATATATACCATTTTGTTGATTTTTAATCGATGTGGAAGGCTTATCATTTCAATCATACAACTATGGAATTCATTCTCTAGATGAAATAATCAAGCAAATACTTTTCAAATAAGGACTTGATCATAGACAAACGCCCTTAGAGCAGAGATAACTAAACCAGCACTTCTAAGCATATTCTGCCAGTCAATGCTTCAAGCAGCAGGAAAAGAGACCATCACTGCTTTAAGACAAGTCACAAAGAACCATGTGGAAAAACTGCACAGAGGAATGGTGATTGTGAACAAGAGATCTATTTTAGAATGAAATTCTAAAAGAAAGGTTATATTTATTATAAAGTTTTCCTGCCTCTAAGGAAATAATTACTTCTCTCCTAATATAACTTCCATATTAATATACCAGTTCCTATATAAGTATAAGTCATCTTAATTCCGGGAAGATACAGATCTGTTTCCTGAACAATCTTTAGGTTAACTCCATTATCAGGATCACCCTAACGAAAACATAAGTCCACAAGCTTGCACATTGTGATTGCTGGTGGCCATGATGAGTGGTCTACATTCACAATCAGTGATACAGGTTCTCCCACCAGGTCTTCTCTCCAGACTCAGGCATTTTCACAACTTGACAACACAAAAGAATACCCAGACTGCACCTGTCTTTCCCAAGGCAAGTCGGTAATGCCTTTCTCAGGAGCCCTTTCATAAGACTGTATATATACAAACACAGGTGTCTGCAAAGCAATCTTTGTGAACTTTGCATTGAATGCTCCAAGAACAGCAGCCATCTCCACACTCCATTCATTGTCTCAATCAGGAAAGGTAGCCGAGAGACCACAAAAGAGGAAAAAACCCAACACACACATATTTATTAAACGTTTCAGCAACAGCACAAAATACTTGTACTGGAAAGGAAAAATAGATTTTCAACCACAAGACACGGGAAATAAAAATGCTTAATCAAGCTTAATTAGGTTTCCTTCACTAGTTAACAATATATGTGGATTAATATTACTACTAATCAAATAGTCGTTTTACATGCAAGTGGCTTCCAACAAATGATAAAGCAGTATTTTCCTTGTATGAAAGATGGCACTGAATTCTGGACCAATATAAAGGAGGAGTCGGATTCCACTAGTCGCTGCTTGGTGTAATTGCCCGGCTTTCAGCGAGCTTTTTTTTTTTTTTTTTTTTAAGGGGGCTATGGGTAACCCCAAATAATAGTGAACTGTGTAAACGTTTGAATAGCCGGTAAGCAAGGAATCTCTAGATCACTTGGTGTCCAGACTTTGGAAAAATGACTCCTTACAAAATATGCTGTGACCGTGGTATTATATAAAAGAATAAGATGATGATCATCATTAACTGGGCAGAAACCACCGCCAAGCCGCTGTCTGCGTCCGCATGTAAGTTGCAGAGCTTAAGGTGGTTAAGTTCTCTCCCCACCTGAAGTGCAGACTGGCAGCCTGGGAAAGCCAGCCGGTTTCTAAGTTCCCTGTGGTTTCTATGGGACTAAGACTGGACTGGTTTGTACAAAGCCCCGGGTGGCTCGGCCAGACGCTAGAGCTGTCCCTTGCCACCCTCTTCCAACGCAAGCACCAAGTTAGAAATGCAACTCCTCAAGCACAATGACAAGAAGGCACACAAAAGGTACAAGGCAGCCGCTCCCATCCTTACCTTTGACTTGACTTTCATACTCGGCTATGATCTCTTTGTCCTTTTTGAATCTACTAGGGGTGGACATTATCCAGCTGTTTCGGGCTTGCTTTCAGTGGGCAAGTTCTGTTCAGTAGTCACAAACCACTCTCCTTAAAGAAGCAGAGTTGTACTCCCACACGCCGGGAATCCGGCAGCAACAACGGCAGGAGGTAAAGGACGACGAGGAGGAAGGGATGGAGGAGGGAAAAGAGAGCGAGCCGAGGACTAGATTAACCCGGGCGCTGGCACCATCTCCTCGGAACGGAGCCGCCGTCGGTGACCCGAGAGACCCGGAGTGCAGGCAAACTCCAGCAAACGAGTGCCAGGAGGCGTCTCCCTGCCCACCCCACCCGGAGCCGGGCCACTTCCTCTATGACCGCTGGGCGGACGCGGGGCTCGCGCCGGCGCTCCTCACCATTGTTAGAGACCCGCACAGAGCGCCCCGGGCAGAGCAGGCTGTGGAGGCCGGACTCTGGGGGTACGCGCCCACCTCAGGCGCCGAGCCCCTCCTTCTTTGCCTCCAGCCGCCGGCTCCGGCGCTCACGGGTCCCGCCCGGGCTGGAGATGCTGCTACCTTGGCCGCTGCTCCTCCGCCTGTCAATACTGCTACAATCGGCAAGGCAAAAGGAGTCCCAAATTCTACCGCAAGTCTTTGCTGCTGGCCGGGAGGGCAGCTGCTGCGACGTTCGAACGCGTCCTGGGCAAAGCCCCAGAGGAGTTCAGGTCTCCAGAGCCGGCGCCGCGAGGGGTTTCTGCCTCCGTCGCCACGGTGTGCCCAGGCTGCCTCTTTCTCCTCGTCTCCTTTTCTGCTGCTGCCCCCAGGAGGCCGCCGGTAACATGCACGGTCGCACACGCACCAGGGGAAGCCGCGCCCCTGGCGGCGGCAAAGTTGTCAGCGAACACACTGCTCGTGGCTCCCAGGCGCGCTGCGAGAGATCTGCGGGCTGCCGCGGCCCCAGCAGCCGTGCAGGGCTCACTAAGGCGGGGCAGGATTCGGAGGAGGAGACGCGCTCCCGCCGGTACCCTTCTCCGCCCTCGCCTCCGCCCCCTCTTGGTAAGGAAACGCAGGGCTCGTCGGGGAAGATGGATGCCTCTTGTGGCCAACCGCAGCTCGGCCCTGCTCGCCGAGCCCGGCCGGCCTTGGGCGGTGCCCCCAGCAGTGCCCCCAGCGCTCCTCCGCCGGGCCTCGTCTCTGAGCGCCGGCTGGGATCGCGGCTGAAGCTGCAGCTGGGAAACCCCCTCATGACCCGAGAGCTGTCTTTGGCCGGAGGGTGAAGACTCTGGGTGGGGCTTTTTTCAGAATCCAGCGGGAAGTCAGAGTTGGAGGTCTTGATGACAGAAAGGAATGTGACTCCAAGATGTTGTACGCAAGCGGGAAAACCGGAGACTGAATTGTGAAAGGCCTGGCTAATAAAAATCAAAGAAAGCGGGCGAAGTTCTTCAAGCGAATGGAGAAAAGTGCCCAATCTTGAACAGTCTATTTTCCCCAACCTAGAAGTAACTTGGAGAGCTAGCATGGTGGAAAAGGCATAGTGTAGGAGTAGATCACACTTAAAGATGTAAGATGTACACTTTTACACGTCTTTCTTAATTCCTTTCAAATCACTTTTTAAATATGATGAACTTAATTTATCAATATGATATGTCAAAAGACTGTCCAGTACCAGAATATTTTACTTGCAAGATCCAGACAGTAGGGACTTTGAGACTTTGATCAGTTATTACATAGCCAGTGATAACTTTTCCAGTTCTTACTGTGGGCCAAAAGCTAGGGATTTAAAGATCAGGACCTGCCCTAAGGGATTTCACAAAAAATTAACACGATATGACCCTATGGGAGCTCTGGTAGCATAGTGGCTAAAGCACTTGACTGCTAACCAGAAGGCTGGCGGTTCAAACCCACCAGCCACTCCTCGGAAGGAAGGTTGGGCAATCCTACTTCCGTAGTGATACTGCCTCGGAAACCCAAGGAGGGGTCGCTATGAGTCGGGGCCGGCCGACTCGACGGCACATAACAACAACAACAACATGACCCTATAGGATAGAGTAGAACTGCCCTCATAGTGTTCCCAAGGCTGTAATCTTTACCGGAAGCCGACTGCCACATCTTTCTGTTCTGGAGAGACTGGTCCAGGGTTTGAACTGCTGACTTTTTTGGCTAGTAGCTGAGCTTTTAACCAATGTGCCACCAGGACTGTTTTCAAGTCTGTTACATAAATAACTAATCACAGGCAGTACAGTAATGCTATAAGAGAAATACTCCTGGCTGGCTTTTGGAGCCCTAAGGAAGGAAAAGGGACCACATAAGAGATTTGTTAGTAAGCCTTTGCAGAGAATTGGTGTTTGAACTGGATTTAAAGGACGAAGAGGAGTTTGCCACCTTTGGGAGGGAAAGGGTTGCATTGAGGTGGGGGTGGGGAGGACAGACAGTTGGTGGAATAGACTGGACTCATGGTTACCCAGTCTGTGTCAGACTAAAACTGTGTTCCTATGGGTTTTCAATGTCTGATTTTTCTGAAGTAGATTGCCAGGCCTTTCTTTCATGGTGCTTCTGGGTAAGCTTGAACCTCCAACCTTTCCCTTAGTAACAGAGTATGTTAACATTTTGCACCACCCAGGTACTATTCCAGGATAAAGGAAGACATAACACTCTGTGTTGTTGTTATGTGCCATGGAGTCAGATTAGACTCATAGCTACCCCTCCTTGGCAGTATCACTACAGAAGTAGATTGCCCCATCTTCCTTCCGAGGAGTGGCTGGTGGGTTTGAACCGCTAGCCTTCTGGTTAGCAGTCAAGTGCCTTAGGCACTATGCTGGCAGAGCTCCCTGTGAGAATTGCAAATAGGATTACAAGTTGTCCTCCAGTAGAATACCAGACCTCAGATAACCCAAAACAAACCACCATGGAGTAGATTCCAACTCATACAGAGACCCTATAAGACAGAGTAGAACTGCCCCTTGGGATCTCCAAGGCTGCTCAATCTTTCTGAAGAACACTGCCACGTCTTCCACAGAGCAGCAGTCCTGCACATTAACCACTGTGCCACCAGGACTGCTTAGACCTCTGATGGGGGAGGTTGGATGCCTCTTGTGGTCAACCGCAGCCCAGCGCTGGTAGCCGAGCCCGTCCGGCCGTGGGCGGGGCCCCCGGCAGTGCCCCTCCGCTCCTCCAATGGGCCTCGTCGTCTCTGAGCGCCGGCTGGGACCATTTAATTTTTTAAAAAAATTAATGTATATATGTGTTCCAACTAATAATATGTGCATATTGTTTTTCATTGTACAGCTCTTTAAAATTTAATTATTAGCATATCTTTGCACTTTATATCAAGAAAACAGAAGATAAGGAGAAAACTCAAAATATGTTTTTTAAAGTTGTTTTCCATTTTACCACACAGGAGGCTACAAATATGAGATCACTGGCTGCCCAACTTCACATGGAGCTGTCTTATATAAGAGTATAGCGTGAAGAAGCAGAATATCCAACACAGAGGCTGGAAAGGAAGGCCAGGGCCAGCTGGGAGAACACTCCTGGGCCTCCCTGAGCTGCTTAGATTTAGTTCTGCAGACAGTAGGAAGCCTTTTAAGTAGAGAAGTGTCATGATCAGCTTTGTTTTATAAAGATAACTGTTGGCAGAGTGAAAGGATGACCATGGGGAGACCAGAGGCAGTCAGGCCATTTAGCTGATAATCATAGTCAAATATAAATATATTTGTATCATCCAGGAGCTCTGGTAGCATAGTGGCTAAGACACTTGCCTGCTAACCAGACGGCTGGTGGTTCAAACCCACCAGCCACTCCTCGGAAGGAAGGTTGGGCAATCCTACTTCCATAGTGATACTGCCTCGGAAACCCAAGGAGGGGTCGCTATGAGTCAGGGCCGACTCGACGGCACATAACAACAACAACAACAACATGGTGCTACTGGAATTTACTTCATATTTGCACCTGTGCAGTACACCTTGGCAACTGAGAATTGTTGCAGGTCCTAGAAATGAATTTTTGGCCAAGGTTCAACCGGAACCACTTCAGTCCAGAGACAGTGTCCAGGAGTGAATCTTGGCTCTGTTGCTTCCTGAGTGATGTGGTAATATACCTCTGCAGGTGCTGGTTTCCTTATGTGTAAAATGGGATTAATGCCTAAATCCTGGGGCTGTTGCAAACACGCAATGAGGTAATCCAGGTCATTGTACATACTCAGTGAATGTTACTACTATCATCTCAGCTTTAAATCTTCTTTGATAGAAAGCAATTTAAAATCTGATCTTTGATTTCATATTGGTATCAAATAAATGTCAATAAATTTTGTTGAATGTTGATGTCTTATTAGTATTAGAATGCCAGCATTTAATTGTTGGTGATTGGTTACTTTATACCATCCTAAGCATTTTACATACACTCTCATAGGAATCCTACAAGATAGACATTATTGTCCCCGTTTCACAGTTGGGAATCTGGCAGGGCCAGAATTTCAGCTCATATCTGCCTGCTTCTAAAGTGAACGTACTTTCCAGTTCTCTACCCTGCTTCTGGTGAATTTATAGTTCCACCAAAAGCTCAGGAGCTCTGGTAAGATAGTGCCTAAGGCACTTGACTGCTAACCAGAAGGCTGGTGGTTCAAACCCACCAGCCACTCCTTAGGAGGAAGATTGGGCAATCTACTTCTGGAAACCCAAGGAGGGGTCGCTATGAGTCAGTCCCACTTGATGACAAACAACAACAATCAAAAGCTCAAAACCACCAGCTGCTTCTTGAGAGAAAGATAAAGTGATCTGCTTCCATAAAAATCTACACCCTTGGAAACCCAGTGGGGCAGTTCTACTCTGTCCTATGGTGTTGTGATGAGTCAGAATCAACTGGAGGGCAAGTAGGTTTGGCTTTTCGCAGCAGGGCTGGAGGGGGGTGGGTGGGTGTGGGTTAAACTTGGGAAGCAGGTTCAAATACAGCAAAATGTAAATACAGTTAAAACCATAAAATTTATGTTTTCTGTTGGTGGACCTCCTAGGCTTTGCATTTGGAGCCAGCAAGTCCCTGTAATTAACAAATCA